TGAGCCATCCAAACCCAAATTTGACCTAGTCAATGTAAAATAATTGGAAAAAGAAAGATTTGGAGGTTGCCTATTTTTTGCTTCACAAACGAACAAACAAACTTTGGCTAAGCTCTATATATAAATGGGTTATATTATAAGTAAGAAATATTAAGACATAGATCCGTCCAAGTTAAATATTAATGAGAAGGATCTTCGTCTGGTAAGAAGATCTGAGAGACGAAATCTTGGAAACGAGAAGAGTAGATCTTAGGATGGACGGCTGAGATTGTCTTAGAGTTGTGTTGAATAGACTTGTAACAATGTTCAATGCGTTTCCTCACACCATAGTCTTGGAATATGTCTATAATCCCAAGATACAATATCACATCGTACCATTCCTCTCCTCCTCTAATGTTCTTCCCCACAACACTCCCTGATTCTCCTCTCCCTACTCTTCTTGCTCGTCCCGGTATCTTCATCCCAAAGTTAGTGCTTGAGCTGCAACAAAAACCCATTTTTCATAGGACCATATTTGTGTTTTTTGGATTGGAACACAAGAAGATGAAGAAGAACTTGTCAAACTGATTACCTGTTATGGAAGATGTCGCTGATAGTTGTAGCGGATGCAATGCTTCCTTGTGGAGAATTAGAACCGTTGGTTGGTTGTATTGGGCTGGGGCTTATACTAGCTGCTGACTGTATATTCACTGAGTTCTCACTATCAACCGAATCTGTGAAAGTGAAAATGAAGATAGTTTCCGTATTGTAGCACCATAAGGTTGTCTCTATAAAAGTATTTAGATTAGAAATTGAGGATCATTTCAGGGATGGATATAAATCACACCTCTGCTTGGAGTGCATGAATACATTGTAGAAGATCTATCTGATATATCTGGAGAGTTTGAAGCTGTCTTCATAAACTTGGAGCTAGTGCTGTCAACAGACGCTGCAAGATTGACCGAAACATGTATAAGACATACTCTTGGTGAATCAAAGTGAACAATGCTAGGGAAGTTTTACCTCGTGATGTGAAGCTGTCGTATACAGGGCTTAATCCATCAATTGAACCTGTAAGGCCGTTTTAGTGATGGGTTTGATCAGATAAACGAATCATCGGATATTTCACTAACAAGAATGAGATGCTTGGAATAGTTCATAAGAACTCACCGTGGCATGAGCCTTTCACTTGTAAACCAAGCATTAAGCTGTAATCCATTATGCCTTCATCTTCCAAAAGCTCACAATCTAGCTTTGTCTGCCTGCGCGATAGCAAAATCCGATAAATCATTCTCTGCGACAAGAATCAAGATAGAAACAGAGAAAACTCACTTGATGAGGCGATGTCTGGCCAAGGAATCCACATAGAAACAAAAATCAAGATCTATATCCTTTAATATGGTTTTATCTCTAACTTTGATCTTCTTGTTAGTCCGACCTTGTGACGAACCCTTGAGATCATATACCTTGTTCATAAAAACATCCGACTGCAATATGTTCGACATGACAACAAAATATGTCTGCTCGCAC